TTCATATTCTCCATAACCAAATGGAGTTAGTGAAAGGAAGAGCATGTGTATTATGAAGACGACAAGATACTTGTTGCATGGGAAGACTTTACCAAAGGAGTTTTGGGCTGCAGCAGCAAACACAACAGTCTTTCTATTGAATAGACTACCTACTATGGTCTTAGAGAAGAAGATACCTTATGAAGCTTGGTTTGATACTAAACAAAAACTGACAAATTTGAAGGTGTTCGGTTATTTGTGTTTTTTTCATGTTCCATAAGTGAAGAGAGACAAGTTTAGTGAGAAGGCAGAACCAGGAATCTTTGTAGGCTATAACTGGGTGTCCAAAGCCTACAAGATCTATCAACCTCACACGAAGAAGATGGTGATTAATAGAGACGTTCAATTTTTGGAGGATGAGGAGTGAGACTGGACAGAAGAAGCAGAGGTGAAGCAATAAGAAGTCCTTCTGGATCCTAATGAACTAGTTGATGATGCACCAGTTAGAGGGACTAGACTACTGACTGATGTGTATGAAAGAAGCAACGTAGTTGTGTTGGAGTCTGCAGGGTTTGAAAAAGCTCAAAGAGATCAAAAGTGGATGGAGGCAATAAAGGAAGAGCTGAGAATGATAGAGAAGAACAAGACATGGAAGCTAGTGGAGAAGCCTACTAATAGAAAGGTGATTGGATTCAAATGGGTTTTCAAGACTAAATTAAATTCAGATGGCTCTGTGAACAAGCTCAAGGCCAGGTTAGTGGTGAAAGGTATGCACAAGTATGGGGAGTTGATTTTTCTGAGACTTTTGCATCGGTTGCAAGAATGGACACAATCAGGATGCTATTAACTGTTCAACTCAGCATGAATGGTAGGTGTATCAACTAGATGTGAAGTCAACATTCCTAAATGAAATGATAGAAGAAGACATCTATGTTGAGCAACCAGACGAGTTCATCACACCAAGGCAAGATCAGAAAGTTTATTTATTGAAGAAGGCTCTCTGTGGGTTGAAGCAAGCTCCTAAGGCATGACATAGCAAGATGGATGATCAATTGCTAAACTTGGGTTTTGTGAAGAGTCTGAGTGAATCCACACTCTATGTGAAGAAATGAGGTACTGCTATTGTGATTGTATCTCTCTATGTAGATGACCTGCTGGTGACAGTAAGTGATGATATTCAGATAGAGGTGTTCAAGTAATAAATGATGAAGGTGTTCGAGGTGACTGATCTAGGTCTGATGCATTACTTCTTTAGCATGGAGATTCAGCAAGGGCAAAATGAAGTGTTTCTCTGCCAGAAGAACTACATGAGAGAGATATTGAAGATGTTCAATATGGAGGAGTGTAAGAGTGTGAACACTCTGATGATTCTGAAGGAGAAGTTGCAAAAGGATGATGGAGAGGAACATGCAGATGAGAATGTGTACGGAAGTCTAGTTGGATGTCTCATGTATCTCACATCCACTAGACTTGACATCATGTACACTGTAAATGTCTTATCTAGATTTCTTCACTACGCAAGCAAGAATCATATGGTTGCTGGAAAGAGGGTTTTGAGATATCTTAAAGGCACACTGTCTTTTAGGATCAAATTCAATAAAGTTGAAAATTTTGAGTTGTAGGGTTACTCAGATAGTGATTGGGCTGGGTCATTAGATGATATGAAGAGCACCTTTGGCTATTGTTTTACTTTTGGCTCAGGGTGTTTCTCATGGTGTTAAAAAAAAAAAAAAGATGATTTAAATGCATCATTAGTAAGAGAATCCCCGTAAAATAACAATACTAGTGCCTTATATGCCCCTCCACTCCTCAAACATCTCAATTGCTAAATCTATATATTATATACCAATCTATATATTATACACGTTACCTTTTGGAATCTTTAATTATTTCCTCCTAAATATAGCATTTCGTTAAACTCTTGATCAATTAAAAGTTGAATCTTCCCATCTAGGTAAAACATAGATGAATTGCATATCTTGAGAACAAACTCCTAACACGTTAGTAGCAATTTCATTCTTCCTTGTTCGATACCTAGGTCTATCAAGAATACCAACGTTAACTTTAATATATGTTCCATATAATGCACCTAGACACTTCTAAATACAAAAGAAAAAAAACCACCTCTAAATTAGTTAAGGTCACAGTTAATATAAACAACTTATTAATATATTTAAAATAAGATTGACTCCCACTTTTCGTCCAAGCAATCGGCAGAAATTGGCTCAGGTTTTTTAAGTAATACCTCATGTAATCGTAACACACAGAGTTAATAACTGTATTAAAATGTCTACTATTTGTTTCTCCTGAACGTGCAAAATGTCGACATATAACTCTATTTTTGACATTGTGTACAAGGATATGTTAAAACATTGCAACCATGATCTCCTCAACTTCTACATTTGGTCGTGCCTTTTAATTTTCCAGCTGTTTTAAGCATATGACATAATATAGTAAAGCATCTTCTATTAATACGTGTAGTCTCGAAACATACTAAATCGCTCTCATGTATTAGACGAAAAAAGTTTAATGGTTGAATTCGACGTCTATAGATAGAACTTCCACCCATAAGTCTTCTTCGGGTTTGTCCTCTATACATTAGCATTACTACCATTATAAATATCTTTTCATCATTTGCTTTAGCATCTTAAAATAGGACAACAAGATAACAAGTATTTGTATTCAGTAGCTGAACATACGTGAGTCATATCTGCACAATAAATAAAAKGTTCAAAATCACATCTATAATTAGATGATATACACTATCAAGTATTTCATCAACGCAGTAGAAAAATTATTAAATGGAGTACAGAAAATTATAATATTCTAGAAAATAAGTAGAAGTATGTATACTCGTCTCTCTACACGTGCCTCTTACATCCTGTTTCTTCCGAAGATAAGGTCCTCTCATGGGGGAATATGAGAAATTTAATAATTAGATTATTGATGCAGATGGATATGATTGTTGGACCCTCACGCCAATATTACTATCACATGGGATACTTAATGATGTAAGTAGAACTATTCTATTCTTGATTTTTCTGCTAAACTTCTGGTTTTATATTATAAATATTGACCTCATATTAAAATCTATCCAGTTTTTTCTTTTTTTTATAAAAAAAAAAATCTTTCCAGTTTTCTGAGAATTAAATGTTGTAGTAAAACGTTCATGGGTCATTAAAGAAAATTAACCAATGATATTGAATTAGCTTAAGAGATTCGTATGTTATTAGAACATTTTATAGTGGGTCATGTATTAATATAATTATATTATTGGACTATTTAATGGATGGACTAAAACAATCTATGATTCAGTGGGTTTATATACTTTTATTGAATATATACTATGGACAAATATCCATCAACTGTTATTGGACCTAACGTACAAAGATTATGATCTTCAATATATTAAAATATTTAGTCTCTTATTCCCTATCCAACGAGGAGGTCATTAGTTTTTACTACTTCGTCTACCATAGAATTGCATCGTTTTGAAGATTCAGGTTACATCATTTCTCTATATTCTTGGTTCTATATAGAATTATTACTACCCAAATCACCGAACAAGGTGCTGCAAATGCAACAGTTGTTCAATGATTTCTCTTGGATTTTGCTACTTATTAGCATGGTGTCACAATATTAATATTCATCRGATTCTATCTCAAAATCAATTGACAATAAAAKAAGTAGTCCATATTGAAAAGAATGTAGATACCTAGACATTTTAAGATGTTCGGGTATCCTACATGCGGGAGTCTTCTAAGYGTTTTGGATGCCGTTTTGAAACATAAATTTYCAAAATTTYCGTATTGGGGTAATCATCTCATTATATTTTTGCTCTTTATTATTTTTTCTTATTTTATTAATAATATTTATTATCTTAAATATATTATTTTATATTAAAACAACATTTTTTTAACGATTAACCTACATTTGATATTTTTCTTATTAAAAAAATATAATTTGATAACATGAGAAATAAATTTATCCAAGATAACCTCAATTATATAATTATTATTTTTTTAAAATAATAAAGTTGAAAATGAAATTTAATTTAATATTAATTATTTTCTAAAAACAATCTTACATTAATAAGTTTGTTAAAATACTATTTTGATCACTATACTTTCGGTCTTGGTGTATTTTAGTCTCTGTACTCTCAAAATATTCATTTTTGTCTTATAGTCCATGTACTTTTAAAATGTTCATTTTGATCCAAAGTAGTCATTTTAGTCCATATTTACAAAATTTTAATACAAATTTTGCACATAAAGATAACCTTCTAGTATAAAGTAATTGTTACATTTTAATAAATATATTGAGTGTAGTGTCGCGTTGCAATTGTGACAAAAAATTATATTAAAAATAAAATTATGGGACCAAAATTGTCACTTTTTTAAACTACAATGACCAAAATGAACATTTTGAAAGTATGGAAACCAAAATGAACAAAATTTGGGAGTACACGAGACCAAAATAATATTTTAACCTAATAAGAATTAATTCTTCTGGGAGATAATAAGAATTAATTTGTTCAACAAAAGAAAATATAAAAATTAATATATGCAAAATTAATATAAAAAATAAAATATTAAATTTATTATATAAATGTAAATTATATTAAATTAATATAAATTATATGAATATTAAGGACATTTCTTAACATTATATAAATTTAAAACATTTCCAAGAATAAATCCGGCAAAATAAACATGGTTMTTCAAATATTCTGGAACATTTTTATAAAGTTTCATATAAAACAAACATGACTATTTAAATATGTCAGACATCTAAAATACAGAGCATCTGAAATTCTAGACATTTGAAGATATAGATATTTATGGTCTAAAAAAAAAAAGCATGTAATAGTAATAATAATGTGAACTAATTAAGTGAATATAATTCAAAATAAAACATTACAAGAACTTACAAAAAAATTGAAACATTTTAAAGTTTTTAAACACTAAACAAAGTAAAAGAGACTAAATTTTACGGTGGCATATGGTAAATTAAATGAATTACTATAACCAAGAGATTACCTTTTTTCTTAAAAGTGATTCATAGTCAGCAGATTCTTGTAAACTCCAATTCATCTGTAAAAAACACCCACACATTAAATCCTAACTAAGTTTTTTTTTTTTTTAAATAAAATAACAGGTGACCTCTTCATTGAAGATATATGTCTTAACCAATTGAGTTAAATTAATTCGAATGAAAAAAATGAAAAAGTTGTTTTATATGACTATATATTCTCATTGTTATTTATTTTTTTAGGCAAATGAGAAAATGAAAAAGCAAATATTAACCTAACATAATATATATTTTTTTTAATACAAAGTTGTATCTAGCGGATCACCATTATAGATATGATATTCCACAAATGTCAATCTTTTCAATATTACAAATCTAGATTTTCAAGATTTAAATAAGTTTTTTTTCTTCTCAAATTGCCCTCAATAGATGTAATTACATTACATTTATAATTGTATTTTAAAATGTATTTTTGTGAGAATTGATGTTTATTAATATTTATACTAATGACTAGATGCCAATATTTTAATAAATATAACAACTATACATAAACACCCAATTTTTCTTTATTTTTCGACGATTTTTCATTGAATTTTCGTGCGTATATCCTTTTTTTTTAGAGTTTAAAGATTAGGGTTTTAGGGTTTTATTTCTTTATTAAAAAGATATATTGTCTCCCGTGAGTCTAGAATTTAAGGTTTAAGATTTTATTTATTTATTAAAATATGTGAATATGAGTAGTTTGATAATTTTCTCATGGATCCGTGATCTCTTATCAAAACATAGAATAAATTTTGAAGAGAAAACAATTAATTGTTTGAAAAGAGAGCATTTAAAAATATAGGTCTGAAAAGTAATTTCATTAGTTTTTTGTTTAAAAGAACGAAAGACAGAAGTTAGATCCTAATGGATGATAAGGATTCATATCTTCTTTATGCTTTCTCCCAATTTCTTTGGTAAAATTTTCATGTTTCTTTTAAAAAAAAAAACTACATTTGAATTCAGTCTATTTACAAAAACATAAACAAATTATTAAAAAAATCATACGTTAAATTACAAGTTTAGTCCCTAAACTTTCAAAGATTGTTTTTAATAGGTCCCTATTTTAAAAAGATCTCTCATTTTTTAATTTTGTTTCTAATAAATAAATTTTTGAGTGTCTAATTTTAGTCTCTATCTCCATCAGGTCTTTAGACATTTAATTTTGCATATAATATTAGATCCTTTCCCTTCTGTACATTTTCTAAAAATTAGAAAGTAAGAGTGTSAAAAGGAGACAATGTTGGATTTTGAAAGTTTAGTAATTTTTCTTTCTTAAATTACTTACAATTTAGAAAAAAATTTCAATTTTTAAAAATTAAAAAGAAAAAACTTCGGTCGAGTCTTAATGAAATATCATTTCTCTCACTTAAACCAACATTAAAATATATAATAAATAATTACTATTTCTATTTTTACCCCGAGTCAATTTTAACTTTTAAATTTTAGATGAAATCTAATACCTGATCAAAATTAACTAAACTAAAAAACGACTCCYGAAACTAACCCTACRAATTTGAACCAACCAAACAATGATTCAAGTCATAGAGACTTCCAAACTCAACTATTGAAATACTTCAAACCTAACCAGAAAAAAATCACGTAAACAAAAAAGTGTCCAAAGTTTAAGTACAACATGTAGAGTGGGGATCGAATTCACATTCTCTTGATTTGAGATATATGCCAATTACCATTGAACTATGTTCGTTTTGTCAAAAAAAAAAAAATCTCCAAACTTAATTAGCAAMAAAATGACCCAACCTAGCTACAAAGCATCTTAATTAACATGATAAATTAAAAAAAAAAATCCAATATCCGTAAGAGTAGCATTGTCTATATCCACGAAAGTGCTCATAAGTTAATCCCATAATCCAACAAGTATGAAAATTTAAGATTATTTGGTAAGACTTTCGGTTCTATTTTTAGAAATATAAGCCTCAGTAACTATGAGTCCGTTTGTTAATTTTTTGTTTTTGTTTCTGTTTTTTATTTTTTTTATTTTCAATGAAAAAATATATTGTATGATTCCAACCTCTGAGAATTTGATAAAACAATATTTTTATTTATGTTTTGGAATAAATTGGAAATGAGAACAACAAAAGAGAAACTTGTTTTGGTTGTTTCCAAAATTTCTACACAATTGTGACAATGTTCCAAAAAAAGGAGATTCAAGAAACAAAGTTAGTTGTAAAATACTTAGATTTCTYAACAAAATTGAAAACGAGAAACAAKAAACGAGAAAGTTACCAAACGAGCCCTATATTCTTTATTTCTGCGAGCATTCAGTTGACGGTAGTTGACATATATCTCCAACCAAGAGGTTATGAGTTGGATCCCACCCCCTACTTAAAAAAACTATATTCTTATTTCTCATTTTCTATTTTTAAGAAAAGATTAATTTCCAAAACTGTGTATGAATTTGAAAATAACATAATCAAGTTTCTTATTCTCATTTTCTTTTTTTTTCGAAATATAAATATATTTATATTATTTTATCATTCTTGACTTGTAAAATGTATAATAAATATTTAAAAAGATATAACATACAAATTTCTAATATTTAATTTAAAAAATTAATTTTCATATAAAACTTGTAACCGTTTAATTTAAAATTATAGAAAACAATAAATAAAAAATAGTTACCAAACACATTTTTTAGGTTTCTTTCTTCAATAAAAAGAAATGAGAAACACATACCAGGGGTAAGTTTGTTTTTATTTATTAAAAAAGAGAATGAGAAACAAGAAACGAGCTATCAAGGGTCCGGTTGGTAACGTTGTCGCTTCTCGTTTCTCGTTTCTCGTTTCTCGTTTCTCAATTTTTTTAATCAAGAAAAATATAACATCGTTTGATAATTGTTTCTTGGTTTTTGTTCAACGGAAACGTGTTTAGTAATATTTTTTGTTTCTTGTTCTCTAAAATTTTAGATTAAAAGAAGGTAAAATTTGTATATGAAATTTAATTTTTCAAATTATTTTTATGTTATATTTATGACTAGAAAATGATAAAAAAATTATTTTATCTATATATGTTTTGGAAAAAACTGAAAAATAGAGGAAAAAAAAACATGAAATATGATTTATTGTTTTCAATTTTGGAAAGGTTTCTTAGAAATGGGAAATAGGCATATCAATATTTACCAAAAATGCTTATGTTTCCTAAAATTTGAAAGCGAGAAATAAGAAATAAGAAACGCGAATGTCAGTGTTCATTTTGGTAACATTCCCATTTCTTGTTTCTCATTTCCAATTTTATTAAGAAATCCAAAACTTTGACAAATCATTGATCTTTCTTGTTTCTAATTTTTAGAAACAATCTCAAAATTGAATAGAAAATTTTTAAACTTGTTCCGTTTGTAATTTGTTCCAACATGAACGATGTTGAAGCAATTCTATTTTTTCTTTATAAAAAAGAGAAAGAGAAACAAGAAAACCGAAACATTACCAAACGCCAAGCAAGGGTGAAAATTTTGGGTTATTATATAAGCGTAAATAGAATATATATTAGATATTACCTGGACATGCAAATGGCAGGTGAGGGTGGGATGATCTCCAGAAACAGAAACTGTGGAAGCACCAATGATTGTGATGCCTTCTGCTTCAGCCTTACGAATCAAACTTGAAAACAAAATGCAATAATTTTCAGCAGCTGGTTTTTGGTTTATGCATATTTGGATTATCACTTCTCCTGAGTTGCTCAGTGGGTGGGTCGAAACAGTGGCAGCTGCAGTTACTCTTTCATTATTATTGTTGTAATTTCTCATCTCTTTTGCTTTTATCAGCTCCTCCTTTTTGTGCTTCTGCTTCTCTATCTCTTTTTCTACTGTGGGGATGTACTCTATAACTTTGTCGATTATCCTTGATGAACTCCATCTCTTCTGCAAGTACATATTAGGTTTATTTTTCGTGTGGTTTTTTAACCTTTATGTTTCTCTTTTTTAGTAAAGAAAAATAGAATAGTACGGCCCCAACACCCGTGGATTAAAAAATGATCAAATCTTGTTTTGGAACAAGAAATAAGAAGGCTTGTTTTTCAATACTAAATTTAAGGTCGTGTTTAATTCAACGGAACGTGAATCAAGAAATGAAAATCAATTTTTTTCATTTATTTTCATATGTTAACAAATGGTAGGAATGAGAAATAAATTGTGGGACCCAAAGATTTTTTAATTTCGAGGCAATCTCATTCCTCTTCTATACCCTCGTAATCTCGTTCACATTCGTGTGGACTCCACACATTTATTGCACTTATTTTTTTACTTTTACCCTTTCTGTCTCTTTACTTAATTATTTTATACTTTTTGTTTATTTTTCATTTACACCRTTGATAAATTTTTTCTAATAAAAATTTAGATCACTTTTATTAGTTGATATAATTTTATTATAAAATATTATAAGTTTATATTTATTAAGTTTAATAATGTTATTATTAAATATTATAATAATAAAATTTATTAATATTTTATATTAAATGATAATGGTTCTAATAAAAAGTATTTTAGTCGATGTAATTTTATCTTAATTATTCATTATTTATTAACATTAAATAAATTGTTACGATAAAAAAATATTTACTATCAATAATATAGTAATAAAATARGTTAAAATTTAATTACTTTTGTTATTAAAAAAATTAGCACAGTCAAGAAATAACATTCTCATTCCGATTCATTCCCATTCTTAGGTTATAAGTAACAGGGCCCAATGAAATGTGACATTTGATCTACCCATATAAAATAATTTAGGTCCAGATTGATAATCATTTTATTTTTTTATGTTAGATTTATTGTGGTGGCGTGAATTATATATTCTAATTATTTTGACTTTTAAATAATACGATAACATATATTTATTCTTTAGCCAACTTGAACATAACTCTTTTTTCAAGTCGAAGGTTCAATCTCTACCCTAACAATTATTCAAAACACGCAAAATCCGTATATGATAATTTTTTCAAAATGTGGAAGTTTTTCAGTTTTCAATTAATTAAATGTGGTGAGATAAACTACATTAGATTCATCATTGCAAAACTATTTTAAACAATGAAATAATGTATAATTTCGTTAAGTAATACTTAGAAAATGACTGATGATTATGTAAGGATAGTAAATTTAACAAAATATTTATTAAAAAAAAAACATGAAAACACCAAAATAATATTTTTGGTGGATACTTCTTGCTTTAAAACTGTTTAAGAAAATTATTCAAAAATAATATTTTTGGTGTATACTTCTTGCTTTAAAACTGTTTAAAAAAATTATTCAACTAAACAGGTTTTAACATTACTAAAAACTGTATTTTATATTTTAAAATAGAAATTATTTTTAAAAGGTTTAAATCTCTTTTTTATATATATATTTTTAATTAAACTTTCAAATTTGTTCCTCTTTAGTCCCAAAAATTTTTAAATGACTAAATTTCCTCTTTAGTCCCAAAAATTTTTAAATGTCTAATTTAGTCATTTAATGTTTCTTTTAAATAATCATTTTGATTATTCTTGCTACCATATTTTTCACAAATATTTATTTACTTATATTCTCTATTCAACTTTTGTAGTTAGAATACATACCTAACAAAAGGACCAAATTTGTCCTTTTTTTTTCCTTTTTAAGTTTCAACAAAACTAGACATTTTAAAAGATTAAAGGCTAAAATAGAGCCAAATTTGAAAGTTTAGAGATCTAAATCAACATATTAAAAGTTCATAAACCAAAGATTAAAATAATATCGAGAAGATAACATAAATCTTATATGATAAAAACCAATAATTGACATCATCATTATGCATTCTATACTATAGAGCCTACAGGCCTAACATCAATTCACAATATTTTTCATTCAAGGTGATTTTCCAACGTGACCATTTCAAACAAAATGCCATATCATAGAGTAGGTTATTTATCTAAATTTACTATGGTATGGTAGAGTTCAATTACTTTTTCTTTGTAAATTCTGATAGATTTATCTTACTCCTCATTAATGATAGAAACGTTTGATAATTAAACTTAGGTTTAACGTAATATTTTGGTCATTGTACTTATAATTTTGGTTTATTTCAGTCTTTGTACTTTRTGATTATTATTTTTTTTATCCCTGTACTTTAAAAAAGTGAATATATTAGTGTCTATTTTCAAACTTTTAACACAAATTCTACACACGCTACATTTCAAGAAATATATTGGAGTGTAGTGTCGTGTTGAAATTTTGATAGAAAATTTGAGATTAGAAATAAAATGAAGAGACCAAAATGATCCGTTTTTAAAAGTTTAGASACCAAAACGAAACATTTTGAAAGTATAAGGACTAAAATGAACCAAAGTTAAAAGTACAGAGATCAAAATGAACATTTTAATATAGAGACCAAAATAAACCAAAATAGTATTTTTAAGCTCAAACTTAAAAGAGAAAAAGTAGTAGGAAGGAACCTTTGATCGTCTAGAATTTGGAAGCAATGAACGAAGGGAAAAGTAGGTTTGAGAGAGCTTCATCCTCCTCTCTCTCTCCTTAGCATTGTGTTCCTCTTTCTTTGCATTTGCATTTGAATTTGAGGCTTCAACTCCAATTGGAGAGGTAAAATTCCCCTTCTCCTCCTCCAAACCCATTAATGCACCTTTGGAGAAATGGGTTTCTTCAATATTATTGCCATTAATGGATGGTGGAAATATTGGAAATAATGGTGGGTTTTCTCTCTCTACAAATCCATAGTTTTGATCAATATTCAATATATCCTCCTCCCATGGTGCCAATGCCATACTCAAACTCCACTTCCCTTCCATTCTCATGCCCACTAATTTCCTGCCAAATCACTTACGAATGAAGCCATTTAATTAGTACATATGTGATCATATGGTAACAATTTTACCCTTTTGATATATATTTACCCCTAGCAATTAGGAATCAACTTTTGCAGCGAGAAATAGAACATAGCTCAACGTTAAACGGTTAAATCTCAGTAGTGAAAGTTGCGTACTATAATCTGTCTAGTAAAGTAAAGTTTGAATAATCATCCCCTCTCATTTCTTAGAAAGAAAACATTAAATACCATAATCTCACAATCTCACACTATCAATTTCAAAACCTACCACCCGATTGGATAATCATTTCATTTTAAGTATTTTATTTTTAAATATTATATTTGTTTCTTCGTAATTTTTGGGGTGCTTTACAACGTTTTTCAAAGACAAAAACAATCTACTTTGTTTTCTAGCTTACAACTTTGATCACCCTCTCGGTAGGCCTACACGTTTTAGRTTATCCGGAAGGAATGGAATCACTAATGTGATGTGAAACCTCCACAAAGAAAAAATTCCTTGGACTTCCTTATCCGTATGGCCGGCCAATCCGTGACAACCCCACAACAAAGAGTGAAATGCCAAGCCCTTTCTCTATTAAAGCAAAAAGTATGCGCTCAAAATACCTCCTAAACCCCAACCCACCTTGTTTGTGTACTGGAACAGCTACCACGAGTTATCCATGTTTCTAAACGGTAGATAACAAACAAAGAATATAAGTAGAAAGGTAGAAGTTTCAAAAAATGGATAACAAAAAACAAAATTAACCGAGGCTAAATTGTTTGAAACCCTAATACTTGGAACTTAGGTGCTTT